GGGTATTCTGTCAAATACTTTGATCTTGGCAATAAATCACCGAGAATTGTAATCGGTATTATATTAACAAAAACAGAGCACAGATATATGAAGGAGAATTAATTAAATCTATCATTTCTGCAAGACTTAACGTCAAGCGATGTATGAATGCCGGCCGGGCGGCTTTGGCGCACTCCCGAGTGAGTGACACGGAGCGTGCACGGAGATCGCTACAACTACTAGGTACCGTGGGACGGTAAACTCTGTTACACTTGAAGCACTATATATTATGCTGATTATAATTAAAACACTATTAGAGAAGTTCAGTCAGAAACACGCATGGGATTTGCTGTATCTGCGGAGCACACATCCCGCTAAACACGTTTCTCGGATCATTTGCATATTTCTCAACGTCCCAACGGACTCCCTATTCGATCACCATCTCAAGCCGATATCCTAATTTGCATACATAGATAGAGAATTGGCAAATGATTGATATCTTTGTTATTTTACTCGCATTCCCAGAAAGAATGACTGTATTGTGCAATGAAGTAACGATACATTCAGGGAATCATATTTAAAGGGCGGTGGTTGTGGCGTAGCGCTTGTTCGAATTTTACGCGCGTTGTGTACGTCGCGATGAGTCCCATCGAACAGGACGCGGCGCGACGACCACCGCCCTTTAAACACAGCTGCACGGAATATATGCGCAGATCTAGAGTACATTTACCCAGAAATATAATTTGTACATTTCACACAGAATAGAATTGTTTTAAAATATACAATTTGAAATTACGTTTTTTTTTTTGACTAGGAGAACGGTCAATGTACTTGTACTATTATTAGATTTTCGTCCTAGCCCCCTCTAACGATTAGTGTCATGTTCTAAACAGAGGATGGTGACACATTCACCTGGAATGATGGGGTATTTAATCCTACATAAAATTGTGTAAAGATCACGTGACACCTTATTAGCATTAACACAAATATAAACAGTGTTTAGCAAAGAAATCCAACAACTCAGAAAACGAAAAGAAAATTCTTGTTTCCTGCAGTCTACGCGTGATTAAATACAAATAATACATAATGTAAGTTTATTCTACGAATGACAAACTTCGGTTAAATTTATATCCAAGTGACAGTCGCATGCTAAAAAGTGATGAATTTCAATTCGAAGCACGACGTGACAAGTTTGACAATAGTCTTGAAACGTGACAGCACAAGGTGATATTCTGAGCGCCGTCACCTTTGTAGCCAAACCCTAACACCTAACAGCCTGACCAATCAGAAAGCAGCTTGTTCGTTGACAGTTTTTTAGCGAATTAAATTCTGCGTTTTATAAATAAGCTTGACTGAACTGCGCCGCCACACTCGTGCTGCCTTCCCGGCTATTCTATGTAATGGATGCACCATAGAAGGTTATATCTTGAGCGCCTTCGCACTTGTACTGCTATCCCGGCCATTCTATATAACGGATGCACCCATGCAAGGTGATATCTTGAGCGCCACCACACTTATACAGCCTTTGCGACTACTCTATGCAATGAATGCATCGTACATAATGTCGATGTTACTGATGACAATATTTTAATACACAGGCATTCATTCATTCATTCATTCATTCATTCATTCATTCATTCATTCATTCATTCATTCATTCATTCATTCATTCATTCGGCTTCGAACACACATAGTGTGTAAGAGCGCATCTTCCATTGTTTCCTATGACAGAGACGACTAACATATTCTCAAAATACGGTATTGTTCAACAGCAGAATGCAGTTACATGTTACCATAGAATTATTCGTTCATAGTTGTACATACAAAACAAATGAAAATTGTCGTACAATCTACAAAAACATTATTAGGCTTCTACTTTAAAGTAAGACAACGCTAGCAATGTTGCGTTGGCTTTATTGTCTTTTTGCTCATCTTCATTGATGCATTGTTTATCTTCTTTGACATATTGTTTTTTTCACATTGATACATTGTTTGTTTGTTTTTTCTGATACATTGTTTGTTTTCATTAATACATTGTTTGTTTTTCTGATATACTATCCGCATTGATAAATTCTGTGTTCATTGATACATTGTTTGTCCTTATTGATATATTATTTCATAAAAACATTATTTGTTTTTTTTCTGATCCGCATAGATAAGTTCTCTGTGCTCTATTGACACATTGCCTATTTTCATTGACACATAACATTTACTTATTTTTATTGATACATTGTTTTTCATCAACACATTGCTTGATTTCATTGATGCGTTTGTTTTTCGTTTAAACATTGTTTGCCCTCAGTTTACTTCCACTGTTACATTGTTTACATGTATTGTACTTATCTTTATCGACACATTACTTGTTTTCTTCAGACCCATTGTTTGTCCTTAATGATGCATTCTTTGTTCTCAGGAAAACATTTTTTTCCTTTACTGGTCCATTTTTCAATTGTATATTGTTTGTCTTTATTGATACGTTGTTTGTCCTCATTGATACGTTGTTTGTCCTCATTGATATATTGTTTGTCTTTATTGATACGTTGTTTGTCCTCATTGATATATTGTTCGAAACTCGCACAGTTGGACGACTTCTGTATACATTATAACTAAGTACATGCCCGGGCGGAAATATATATAACAGTGCTTTGAGTGATTTGTCTTGAAGCTAGCTTATTACAGAAACTCGAAACTGGTCTTAAAAAGGGCATTCCTTCATGTACTGATATACCCGAACAGCTCACCTCGTTAATTAGATATTTATGTTTAGCACAGCACATGCATTAGGATGCAAATGCATTGAATTATAGCGGGTGAAGATCCGTTCTATACCAGAAACACTGGTTGCCAAACCTCGCAGTAATTTGTATACATCATAAAAACATTGCCCTCTTAATAATGCGTCCATGTTTCGATTATAACAATCTCTTTTCAGTGTAATTTAAAAAAACATCTCAACTCTGAGTTGCATAACTGCACACAGTCTGGGCTATTTCAATTGTCTTTAGTTTGATCCCCACGTTTTACCCGTGAAATAAGAGACACGTTACCATGGCGACGGCAACACTTGCATATTATACTTCGAAAGTGGCAGGAAATTCGTCCATTTAAAATATGCCGTACCGTTGTTAACCGAACACGTGTCTGTTTTAAATATGATTTGAGATCTTTGAAAACAAAACAATAATGGACATCCGTTGATGCCAAATTTATTAATATGCCTTGAATAATGCATTGACTACGCGCGTTAACCATTTGTTGAAATCGACAACTCCATAACGCAACCAACTGTAACCAGAAACTAGCACAATGTATTCAAACTGCAACCTGACACAGTTGTGTTGTAGTTTCCATAGTTACCGCTGAAAATTGATAGTAGTATTGCCTACTTAATTTTGAATCAATGGTCTTTTCAATCATAAAATTACCGGTAAATGTTAGTTTAGAGAGGACTGGAATGATCCTCGTACTCACTGTTCGCGGCACGTCCGCGGAAAGCTCCAAGGGCGCCCTCCTGTGAAATACCCCCAATTTCTCGCATATGCACTTTTTGTAAAGGAACTGTGTATAAAATTAATTATTGCCATAAATATGAGAATAGATATTGAAATTATTAATCCCACCGCAACATCCAGTTAGTCTCGTATATATTCTACCACTGCATACATTATCATGTCTGTATTATCGACATAAGCCATCAAATGTGATGTGAATGCATTAATTTTCACTGAGCTTCAATTTGCCATTTTTTTCTGAAAAGTATAACTTGCTAAATTAAAACCACATGAACATAACAATATAACTGTTATAATTGTTTTCATGGCAAAGTCGTGAACTTAAAGTAGTAAAATTAAACGCCAGCTAAAAATACTGATTTTCACAGTATAGACTTGATATGAAACTCACGGCATATAAAATTCAAATGTGTACGGGTAATATCCACTTACTCGACATACACACATGTATTTTACTTGGTTGGGGCTGGGTAATATTTACACATTGTCTAACATAAAACCGAAACAAAAATGCCTTACAATATTATTCTGTGCGTTCTGTTGACATTTGCGCCCGAGTATCGCAATCGATATTGTCGATAAAAAATGGCTGACGATTTAATAGGTCGTTTGGAAGTGATACGTTCCCGGGTATATTGAAATCCCCCGTTACTGTGTATAACAATATTAATTATCGATCAAATCGAAGGTTGTGTCAATTCAACGTTCCAAAAAAACACTCCAAAATATTGCATTGTTGTATTTAGAAACCTTGTCACATACGACCCAGTCTAAACGTCGGTTATGAATTATAATATCATGATGACCCTGAAAACGACATCAGCAGAACAACAATGTATGACGTTTGACAAAGTCATAAAATGCACACCAAAGCGTTCGCGTTCGTTATAATGTTTCATTGATGTGTGTATTGTAAATCGCCGACGGAAATGGACGATGGCTCGAGTCCTGGTAGGTTCTCTCGGGTCAATACAGCAATCATCCTTTGGCACTGCCCACTGACTATTCAGTGCGTCGGCCATATTTAATAACCGCGTGTAGCAGTGTTTATAGGGCAGGTAATGAACCATTGTATTAATGTTCCTTAAAGCTCGCACTCAGTGTCGCTTCGGTTGTAACAATACGGAGCCTGACACCACATCCACAGTTGTGTTTCAATGTGTGAAGATGGAATTGAGGGGGGGGGGGGGTGCGCGCGCTAATTTTATGCGGCAGCCCGCATATAATTCCAGCCTCCTAATTAGCATAATCATTGTCATTGGCCGACAATCGCTTGAAATAACCTGTCGCGATCATTTGCATAAACATCAAATGTTAATACGCCGTATAGGGCATATTGTGCGTATATGTGGATAGTATGATCACTGGGAGCCGAATCTCATTTAATCACATATTGAACACCTGAGATGCACAATAATGTGTTACCATATTCTCCAATGTAGCTCCCATTCATGTCGTCCTTGTGCCATTACAATCGTGAGCTGATGCGTTCTTTTTCTCACCCGCCAGGATGGCAACATTTTCGTACGGCGGTCAGGGAGAGGCTATGGATGGTGTTGGACAGGGACAGGACGTTACCACCGGTTCACGTTCATCTATTACACGCAAACAATTCTATGCCACGGACAAAAAGGAACCAAGGACCAGGTCCTTATTTATATTCAGCGAAGACAACTTCATACGAAAGTATGCGAAGAAAATTACAGACTGGCCATATCCTTTTATTTTGGGAATGTGTGAAATGACAACCACCGACAGTGCCGCTATCGTCGTTTTCGTGAAAGTTCGTTTAATGTGGTAATGACGTGTCGACAGGTATTAATATAAGTCGGCATGTGTGTCGATTTCACTGTCAGGACTGGAAGGTATTTAAAGTAATAATTTTATTTTACACTTTATCTATTATTATTGTACGCAGCGTGCAATGTAAACCTCATTTGCATATTACAAAATGGAGGCATTTTAGCACATTCTCCGGTGGCGACATCTGGCCCATGGCAAGCATCAGCGTATATCATACGTTAATCTAACAATTGTTGTAGATATATCGTCGTGATCACAACTATATTTACTTGGAGGTATTATGTATTCAAGGCGACATTGTGTTTGCTTTTACGTTAATGTACGTGGTGGCGCGGTATTGGGTTTTACACAACCCAGATATTTAATCACTCCATCTATAATTCATCAACAGAAAAATTAGAATAGAAAATATAATGAATCAGCATATAGGAAAAAAAACCCATCAGTCTATAAAATAAAAAATGTATTTATACAAATAAATGTCACACTCAGATCGTTGGCATTAAAATCCGGTTAATTATGTTAAACTGTGAGACTACTAGTATAATGTAATGGACCCCCGCTATCATTGTAATGGAGAGGGGGGGGGGATTACTTATTATTGTTCCAATTTAAGCATGACCCGGACAATTTTACGCAACAATTTAAAAAAATAAAATGAAAGCAACACAACAATTTACAGATAATACAATAATATTTAGATTGAATTTTAAATATTAATAAAGTGAAAAGATGTCTGTATATCATCACCTTGGGAGGGGCGCTATTGTGGGTAATTTTGCTAACACCCGCCATTATATAGATACCACAAGACATTGATAGTTAATATAATTTAAATTCGCCCGCTTCCTCTTGAACTTCAGACAAAGCATTTCAAATTAATTAAAGTCTGAAGAACGTCCGATTTGTCATAATTGCCACGATGTGGCAAACAATGGCCCCTTTTAATTAAAATATTTTGTGGTGCGTCTAACGATTGATTCATCTTCTTCTACGCAATTAAATTATTAAGTATTTACTCAGCTCATACTGGTTCACTGAAATGGCACGCAGTGTACGCTACTTTGTGGTTGAAAGAGCGGTCACGGTTGCTAGACCCCTCCCTACAATTAATAAGATTGTCAATTGTTGGGGGGGGGATTGGCAATTATTTGTAATTCTGGTAGCACAATATAATTTATGTTCCATTACGTTCTACCACCCTCATGCATTATTTATGTATTTCAATTCCCGCACCACAGTGGTGACTGCAATCCATTTCAAGTAAAAAATAACCTACCCACACATTCAGCGTTTTGTTTTCCCCTGAATCTATGTGTTTGTACCACGAACTCTGTGATGTTTTCTAAATTTACCTCCAGGGGATCGTACATACCATATATATATATATATATATATATATTTATATATATTTATATGTATTTTTATCTGTTATGTACGTCATTATCGAGATGGTTTCCATGACGGCAAAATATGACAATATTTCGTCAAGTTAACTCTGTTAAAAGTCATTGTAACGGAAAGTGGGGTAGTGTTTACTAATTTTGTGTATATCGTTCTCGAATCTTTTTAAATCTAAACACACGCCTTTGTCGATAGTTTTTGGAAGTAGGGTTAGGGTTCTTCACAACGATGCGTGCATTGTTGGTATTGTATGCGCTAGACCTATGAAACAATCATTCAGGTTATTATAAGTCAAAATGAATGCACATGACCGTTTTAAAATAAAAAATAAAAAAATGCGCGCCCGCGACGATTTTGGAAAACTAGTTGACTAAAATTTGGGATTCACCCTTAGCTGCGTTTTTTAACTAAATGCTCTTTAACCGTTATCCTGCCAGGGTCAATCAGACATCCACAAAATAAGTTGTTCTAAAATATTATTGTAAACACAACTATTGTAGTATGTATACCAATTCACTTCAACCCCTACAGAAATATCAGCATCATTTTCGGTGTCATTAGAAACATGTTAAAACAACTCTGCCACATGCCATGTAAATAAACTGAACTACTCTATAATATATTGATACCATTCTTATTCTTTTCACCACCAGTTCCCTCTTTTCATTACAAATCCATAAAATAATCCTGTTTATAGTCTGCACTTTCCTTCAGAAGATTGGGACAAAAATAGCCTAATTTTTTGACTCAAATGTTGTCTGTCGGCTCCAAAATTGGGGTTAATTTTCAGAAATATTCGGAATATGAGAAAAAAAGTACAGAATATTTGGGCATTGAAGTCTTGTTGTGAAAAGGTTATAACACAAAACATTACCCTGTTTACGCAATACAATCTGTACGCGAGAGGAAAAACAAGAAATAGACTGAAGGTTAATCTCACGATTCCGTCTGCAGAAACCTAAAAAAACGCCCATAGTGCAATTTCTATTTAGACCTTGCTTTTAAGGACATTTGAGCATGTACTAATTTCCACCGCATGCATATCCAAAAAGTAATTAGAAAATTTGATATATAAGCACATCCGATAGAGACCAGAACAATCAACGAATCGAAAACGAATGAACCGTACAGACAGTCTGTAATTAGTTGGGTTTCTATATTATTACGTATAGCATTATCAAATCATACCTTGCCAAACCATTGTAGAACAAATGATTGCTGGGCAATATGAGTTAACAAAAGCTGTTCATGTCAAAACAATGTTAGGATATTATAGAGTACCTAAACTGAAAAAAATACACTCCCACATAAAATTTATTATTAATGCTTATTTGCGAAACAAATAAATAAATAAATAAATAAATAAATAAATAAATAAATAAATAAATAAATAACAAAGGTGAACGTGCAATATGTAAACATTTGGTAGTCATTGCGTTTTGGGATCAAATTCATGTTTTTTTTGAAGTATTAAGAAAGGATAAATTATTCAAATCAATAAACCATACACTCAATGACACAGCTGGGCGTTCTGGGGGTTCTTCTTTAAATACAGTGTGTTCAACCGGATTATTATGCCACTATAAAGGTAACAGTGATAATTTTGTTATGAAAGCACACGTGTTGACTTTTTGGTTGAATGTGACCTTTACTCGCTATAGATGGTGATAGTCACGTGTCCTTAATCATACTGACGTAATTTCCTGTCAAATATGGCGCGGTGTAACGGCTATTACACAGCTAATAAACAATGGCCCGTGTAGATATTACGATTAGATGTAGGTAGCGTACTGAGAACGACTGCAGCTGGATTATCCGGCATGTATGTCGTTGTAATCAGCAGAATGGTTCTGAATAGCGCACAACTGGATCTATGACCTACTTCAACGTATTGTAGGCGGATTGCATTGTGCTCTATGACGTCATAAAATGGTGACGAGAACAAGTTTTTCATCATAAGCAGACGATATTGTTTACTTCACATTTTGAATTTTTTTCAATGCGAGTTCAATTTCATGTTGTACGTGTGCTACACGCGCTAGGATAACCATCAAAATACCGACAATTTCAATCAACCGCCATTATTCACCTTCAAAACAAGAATATTATCTTTGACACCATACCACGCTATGACGTGGAAATTGTTATGCTAATACTAAGTCAATACAATAAATAACACATTATGATGCAAGATATAAAACACCAAATAGTGACAAAGAGAACGTCATTTATTGAATGTGTATCGATTCGAATCAGTCACATGACAAGGTCAAAATGACAGTATTATTAAATCAATTTCATTTAGAGTACCGTTCTTCCGAATCGATTCCCAGGATTGTCCCTACAACAAAGCTGGCTTGAATACTCAAATTTAAGGAGCGATAGTAACAATCCAGCGGATATGGACAGACGATAATCATCCATCCCGACGTTGATTATTGTCAAAATGGCGTCCAAAATAACAGGTGATACTGAGAAACCTCGTTTAGGAGTTTACCATTGCATGTTGCTACTTTCTTGGCGGACAAATTGAATATATATTACCATGCTCGATTACTTTTCAACATAAATTCAAGCAGTTGTCATTAAAAGAAGTATAACATGGCATAACATTGGACATTTTAGGAAAACAATACCCACAAAGAGCCAGGATGTGTGACCTTTAGGGGTCACTCGCCTGGGTTTTGAATAATTAACATAACAATTTGTCTATAAATAATTGATTTGTTTCTAATATGACACCGAATTTACTTTTAGAAGAGAAGCTTTTTACTGGTGTCAAACGTGCATGACCATTTTTCATAACAAGGATTTGTGAAATTGCTTAATAACTATGGTTACGAGACGAGAGTAATCCCCTCAACTGTTGTTAAGAGCATAGTAACTGGAATCCACATTCATATTAGAGCACTTGAGCAACTCTAGTGTCCGAAAATCACGGATAAGCGTCCTTGACTCTACACTAGAGTATCTAAAGAGTTCAAAAATCAGAGATAAGCTGCCTTGACTTCACACTGGAGTATTTACAGAGTTCAAAAATAAGGGATAAACAGCCTCGACTCTACGCTAGAGCAGCATCTCCGGAGTCCAAAAATCAGAGATAAGCTGCCTTGACTTCACACTGGAGTATTTACAGAGTTCAAAAATAAGGGATAAACAGCCTCGACTCTACGCTAGAGCAGCATCTCCGGAGTCCAAAAATCAGAGATAAGCTGCCTTGACTTCACACTGGAGTATTTACAGAGTTCAAAAATAAGGGATAAACAGCCTCGACTCTACGCTAGAGCAGCATCTCCGGAGTCCAAAAATCAGAGATAAGCTGCCTTGACTTCACACTGGAGTATTTACAGAGTTCAAAAATAAGGGATAAACAGCCTCGACTCTACGCTAGAGCAGCATCTCCGGAGTCCAACAATCAGGGATAATCAGCCGTGACCTTACACTAGAGCATCTCCAGAGTCAGGGATAATGCCATGATTTCAAACTAGTTCATTCATGATTCAATT